TTAGTTGGCTGATTGGTGGGTTGTTGTTGCTCTGTAATTGTTGCTGTCTTTGCTGTTGTTGATATATTTGTGGTTGTTGTTGTATTTGTTGATCTAATTATCTAAGTTGTTTGTTTGTTTGCTTAGTTTACGATGACTTTTTATTGAATGCGTTTGGTCGGCTGGCTGGTGTAGGGTTCATCCTATTACTATCGCCATTGTTCTCGTTGTTTATCTTCTGGAAATTTGTTGAATGCCGTTCTAGGAATGGCTGGTTGTTGGCGGAGTTGATTTTTTCATTTTGTTGCTGTTGTTGTTGTTTGTGTTGCTGGTGATGACGGTGGTTGTTAGTGTTGTTGTTGTTGATTTTCTAATTTTATTTATAAAAATATAACTTCCAATATTTGTTATCATCAAATCTTACGGTGATCAAAATTAAAAAAAAAACAAACAACAAAAATCACACAAACGAACAAATACACAAACGAACAAACACACAAACGAACAAAAAAACTAACGAACACACACACCACACACACATACACACCTGCTCAGGTACTCGAAGACGTCCAAATCAACAAATACCTGCAAGAATTTCAGGTATTTCGCGAACGATCAAGCCGAGACACGTACCGAAGTTTAAAGCGTGATATAGCCAACAAGCTGAAACAGCAAAAAGACAGCAACAAACATCACCAACACCACTCGCACACCACTAGTAACGGTCTTGGAGGCCACAAAGCCAGCTGTGCTTCGCTTCTTTTTTTAGCAAGCTCTGGTGGTAGCGTCAGTAGCGGTGGAACTCAAACGCAGCTGCCCACTATTAAAGAGAATTCGTCAAGTAGTCGCGCTAATGTTAACAACATGGATGGGGCAGATGTTAAAGGTTTTTTTAGTTTTCAAATTTTTTAAATTTTTTTTTTTTTGGGTTGGCTTTTGTTGTTTTGTTTTTGTTGTTTCGCTTTTTGGTTTTCCTTTTTTCATTTGAAGTTTTTTTTTAAATGTAGAAAAACATTCACGACCACAACGGCGCGCTTGATAATATTGATATTGACGTAAACAATTGCGATAAAAACGTCAGCACCGACATCGTAATCTTAGCCATTAAAAAAGACGACCAATCATTCCAATTATCTACATTTCTCTCTCAGCATTTGATAGTACAATTACAAACCTCTCCATCACATCATCATCTCCTTTCTCTCTCTCTCTCTCTCTCTCTCTCTTTCTCTCTCTCTCTCTCTCCATCACATCATCATCTCCATCACACCACCGTCTTCTTTAATTTCATTCGATAGGATGCATGAACACAAGCGGAAGTGTCGGACATTTATTTTCCATGGCATCGCGAAAGAAGCATTCCTTCGCGTTCCTCCAATCAGCCAACTTCCGGCGAACGATTACGTGCAATGAAAGCATCCTTCCCACAGCAACAACAACAACAACAAACAACATCATCATCAACCACAACAACAAAAACGCATTATCTTCATCGTCATCTTCCTTCCTTCAAGTCCCAGCAGTTTCTACTCAGCCATCCTCTTCGATGTCTACAACGACCACAACAGCACACTACCTCCATCCATTAAGACGCAACCAATCCATTTCGTTAATCGACCGACAAAGAGTAGTCGCTCCGACGCAATCCGACCTCATACCGACCACCATGATTAGCGGTTACGGTAGCGGTCCCAGCCACTATCCGAATTCAAACGCGTCAATGGTGCACCGTAAATTGGGCGTTGGGGCCTCAATCGACAGCTGCTATCCGGCCCTTTGCGTGGTGAATGAAAACGGAGAAAAGGTCTTTCAAGATGAGGATTTGTTTGATGGATGCTTGCATGTGGTGCAGCAGCAGCAGCAGCAACAACAGCAGCCATTTTCGGGTCTTATGATGAACAGAAATCTCGGTTTTCATTCGTCATCGGCATCTACGAGTGCCCTGGTAGAAAGTGACGAAGTCGATTGCGATCAGTTTGAACATACGACCTCCTCGAGTCAAAATAACAATGGAGACAACAACAAAAACAACATTTTTACCGCTAAAAATAACAATAACAATAATTCTACTAACAACAGCAACAACAGTAACAATAAAATCAATAATAGTAGTAGTAGTAGTAGTAGTAATAATAATAAAACCAATAACAATAATAATAACAATAGCAACGCAACATTTTTGGACATTGAAGAGTTTAACGGCAGAAACAGACGAGTGTCATGTCCGTATGTGCAGTTGGTCAGTGGCAAGTGATGCGTCACTAATTGCCCTGTCCAATCAGAGATGAGATAATTATTATTATTATTATTATTATTGTTGTTGTAGTTGTTTTTGCTGCAGTAGTTGTCGTTGTTTTTTTGACGTTTTGAATAGATAAATGCAGACGTACGTGTCTTTTGTCAGCGTTTTAACTATAGAGAATGAATATTTATATCTGAAAGAAATGACTTTGAAAGGGCGCGCATGCAAGAAGCGGAAATGACGTCATGTTCACGTGACCGGAAATAGTGTCGGGCGTGCGTGATTAAAGAGGCCAGATGCCATGTTTGGACAGTGACCGATTGTGCTGGAATGAAAATTGCTTACTTGCGATCTTTTATGTCTTTGTTGTTGATGATGTCTTTGTTGATGTTGTTGTTGTTGATGATGATGATGTTGTTGTTGTTGATGATGGCGATGATGATGATGTTGTTGTTGTTGATGATGGTGATGATGTTGTTGTTGTTGATGATGATGATGTCTTTGTTGTTGTTGATGATGATGAGGTTGATGTTGTTTTTTGGGGGTTTTTGTTGTTTTTGTGTTTATGTTATTGGACTTTTTGATATGGTTCATCTGTTCCACTGGTTAATGTACTGTTGTCGTGATAATTTCAAGTGTGCGTATTCATGTGTGTGTGTGTGTGTTTGTGTGTGTGTGTATTAAATTGAATTGTATGTATGTATGTATGTTTTTATGTATGTATGTACGTACGTACGGTATGTTGTATACATACAAATATTAATCAATATTAATGGAAAAATTAAACGGATGGATGAACATTACCATAGGAAAATGATGATGGCAAAGTTGCGTGTGCCAGTCCAATCCACTCACTCTCTTTTTTTTTCTCTCTCTCTCTCTTTCTTCTTCTCTCACTTTCTCTCTATTTCTTAATTATTTACGTATGTACAGATATATGGGTTTGCATGTAAGTGTTTAGTTGCATATTAGTAGCTTCAATAGATTTCCTTGTACTAAATCTAAATCACAATTTTCCTATTTGAACTTAAAGATTCAAAAGCTAAAAATAAATAACAATAATTATAAATATTAATAATTATGATAATAACAGTAATTTATTCATAGATTCATATATATGTGTATATCAATATTTATTTATTAATTTTTGATTTAAATGAAATTAATGAGGTTAATTTTGTACAGCCATCCGTTCATGCATATATCTGTCTGTATCCCCAAATCTAACACGCTGTCACTTGATACCAGCCTGGTAATCACAAGGCTAATTATATTTATGGAGAACTTTATATTTTTAGAGTTATTTATTTTCACCCCAACGCTCTCTCCCTCTCTCTTTCTTTCTTTTTCCTTTTCTCTCTCTCTCTCTTTCTCTCGTTCTCTTACTCCATTACTCCATTATATACACATAATGTATTTAATTATATATTTTTATATTGAATATTATTCATAGTGTCGGTCAAATTGATCTTATGGCTGTCATAATTTCAAAGTTGATGAAAATGCTTTACATTCCATTTTTAAATTTGAAAAATGTAAATTTTAATTCCGATTTGGCTGATTTCACAAATTGTTTAATTAATCATTTCATGGTTTTGAATTAATGATGACAAAGAAGACAAGGATGATAATGAATATGATGATGATGACTTGATGATGATGACGACTTGATGATGATGATGAGTATGACGATGATGAAGATAATGACGATGCTTGCTCTGGTAATGATTACGTCATCACATCCAAAAACGTTTTCGTCAAAATAAACACAAAAAAGAAATCTCTGGAACTCTCTACCTTCTTCTCTGACTACCTCTCCCTCACTTACGAATTTCAGAGCGGATCTCAAGACCCATCTGTTTACAAAATTTACTCCGGGGCGCTGTTGAACATTGCAAAAATAGCGATTTATAAACTAATTGATTGATTGAAAAATCGAAACAATGAACCCGGTTTCAAACACAAAGGCCGTCATTCAGATATACTCACTCATTTTACATTTGCTTGATAGCCACAGTTATATGAACTCACACATATGTATATGATCATATCAAAATTTAGTAAAAGAATGACGAATAAAGCGAAATTATTAATGACAATTTTATTTATTTTTATTGAAATTATTAACAAATTATTCCAAAATCATCTTGAAAATGTGATTTTTGAGGCGTGCGTTGTGATGCGTTCGTGGATTTTCGCGTGGAATTTTATACGAATGGAAAAAAAATTTCTTATTGTGTGTTTTCATTCAAACGTTCAAATGTGCAAACTTATAATTATTATTTTCTACATCCAGTCAATTATTTAAATTAAAATTTATATATTAATTAATTAGAATTTTTTATTGATTTGCGTCTTATTTATTTTTAGAAAATAAAATATATCTCTTTTACATACCTCAGAAATCATTGAATTTAACTCAAGCCTTACGGATCATCCATTCTTTAATTCATCTTTGAAATAAAATCATTTATTATTAATACTATTATTATTATAATTTTTATTATTATTATTGTTATTGTTGTTATTATTATTTAATATAATGTTAGTAGTAGTAATAGTGGATAATGAATAGTGTATCAATATTAACTATATACATATACAATGTATATGTATATATATATATGTGTGTGTGTGTGTGTGTGTGCGCGCGCGCGTGTGTGTGTGTACATTAGTCCAAGAATAACCAAGTTATGAATATTACAGCAAATTTTTTTAACGTTATCTAATGTTGTTAATGATTTGCTTAATGTTATGTTATATACATATATGTATATATGTTATATGTTATATATGTGTGTGTGCTTGTTAGTGTGTGTGTGTTTGATTGTGTCTGTGTGTGTTTGTGTACACCGTATATATTTTTATATCGTATGATATATATATATATATATATATATATATATAATATAGTTGGCTATATATTTTATATATAATTTTGTACAAAAATAATTATATTTATTTATAGATGTATTTTTAAAAAAATTTGAAATAAAATTGAAATTTTTCGCGTCAAATAAATACTAGTGCTTCACAAAAGGTCTTGTTCCTATGATGTAATGAAAATTATACAAAATTGGTTTTTTTATATAAAAATTCATTCATTAATTCATTGTTCATACACTCATTCGTTCATTCATTCGTTTGTTCATACATTCATTCGTTGATTCATTCGTTCGTCGTTTGTTGGTTTGTTTCGTTTCTCCACTTCACTTCACTTAATATAAGAGCAGTCGTCATGTTTTCTCTTCCATCCGTCCACCCATCTATCCATCCGTCCATTCATCCATCCATCTATCTACGTTCTTTCTTTTGTTAAACCGTTTGGTCAGTCTTCATTCGTTTATTCATTCATTCTTTCATTCAATGGAATTTCAAGAATTTCTTTTGCGTCATCTATTTCTAATATTCTCACTGCTTCAGTCTCTCTCTCTCTCCCTCTCTCCCTTACTCTCTCTCCCTCTCATTTCTCTTTTTCCTCTTATCTTTTATTCTTTTTTTCATCAATCATATTTTAAAAATACTGGGTTATATAATTATTCTCTCACTGTTTCTCTGATTTTCCATCAAATTTTTTTCCTTCGTTCGTTCTCTCTCTCTTCCTCTTTCTTTCTTTTTCTCTTTCTCTTTCTCTCTCTTTCTCTTTCTTTTATCCATCTTCTTTATTTTTCCATTTCCCTGCTTTCATTTTTCATTCGTTCCAACTTTTTCGTTCAGAAAATAAATATGAAAGATGAATCAAATACATGAAAAAGTGCATCTCCATCCTTTGGAATAGGTAACTAAAAATATTTATAGAAAACGTACTAGCAACAACATGTGAATGTATTTCTCTTTCTCTCTCTCTCTTCTCTTGTTCTTTCTTTTTCCTCTCTCTCTTTTCGATTACTGATCATCATCATCGCTATCATCATCATTAGCATCCTCCTCCTCCTCCTCTTCCTCCTCCTCCTCATCATCATCATTGTCATCGTCATCATTTTTTAGGATTTTATAATTTCATTAATAGCCAGTCAATTAATTATTGTAATTCTACAACTACTACTTCTATAACTACAACAACTACTACTATTAATAATAACAATAATAATATTATGATACCAATGATAATAACAAAAATATCATGTTGTTCACAACTTGCAAACAGTGGTAAGATACACAAACATATATAGATAAAATGAACTCACACACACACACACACACACACAAACAAACAAACATACAAACACATGTACGAACGCACACACGTACAAAGTTATTTTGCAGCATATGATGAACTTTTGCAAGCATCACCCAGCATTTGCTTGAATGAAAGCAAACTTGAATAACTGGGAGTGCAGCAAACAAGTTATTTCAGTTATTTATTATATATATATATTTATGTATGCATGTATGTATGTATGTATGTATGTATGCATGTATGTATGTATGTATGTATGTATGTATGTATGTATGTATGTATGTATGTATGTATGTATGTATGTATGTATGTATGCGTGTATGTATATATATATATATATATATATATATATATATATGTATATATATATATATATATATATTTGTATTTTTGGTGTACACTGTTGTACATACACTATAGTATTAAAAAGTGTTTTTGTACGATTTAAGCATATTATATCTGTAAGCATATTATATCTGTAAGCATAATTTTATTATTTTGGATCATTATTGTCATATATTTCTTCTTTTTTTCTTATACTTTCTCTCTCTCTCTCTCTCTCTCTTTCTCCATCATCATCTTCCTTCATCATCATCTTCATCACCATCACTATCTCTAATTATTTGTAGAGTACTCGTCGTCGTCGTCTTCCTCACAACACATCGTAGTCTCTCCTTTTGTTGTTGTTGATGTTGTTGCGTTGCAAATGAAAAATAATTTCTTGGTTGTTTAAAAATTACAAGAAAAAATTATAGTAATACTAATAATATATAATAATTATAATAATAATTAATATTGTTATCCGTAATTATCCATAATTTCGTTTAAGCTAGAAGTTCTCGTCAGGTATATTTTTCAATATTAAATCATCATCTACCGTTACATATATCAGTAACTAACAATAACAACAACATCATTATTATAATCTACAACAACAACAACAATAATAATAACAATAATAATAGTAATAAGTCTACTGGTCTATCAAATATTGGATAACAGCTACAGCTTTTTGGCTACTTCATAATTTTATAAAAATAATAAAAATCCGTTGGTTTGAATTTGCTAACTGTTGCCGTCCGGTTTCTAAACAATTATAACTTATTTTTCTTCTTGCAACGACAAAAAAATAATTTCGAAAGATGTCAGGACGCGCAGAAGCCGGTGGGGACATGGTCCTGATCAGAGGAAAAGTTAGGAAATTTTTTGGGCACTTTTTATAGATAATTTATATATATATATATGTATACATTTTTGTCATTCTCTTATCTTTTCATCAATTAATCAGTAAGTCAATCAATCGATTGATCAATCAATAGAGCAAAAATTTAAGTTTAGCCATTTATGTAATAAATCAATTTATTTTTAATCGGTCAGTCAATTAATTTATTAATCCGTTAATTAATCAATTAGCTTTAACTAGCTAATCAATCAAACAATTACATTATCCATAAAATGTAGTACACAACTATTTGTTTGTTATTTGAGAATAATTAATCAACCATCTAATTAACCACTAACTAATTAAATCAATTTATCAAACATAACTAACCAATCAAAAACAACTAACTCACCGCTCAATAACCAACCTCTCAACCAGCCAACCAATCAACATTCACTCAACCAAAAAACCGACCATCAAAAATCACTCAACCAACCGACCAATCAACAATTACTTACTCAACCAACTGACCAACCAAAAATTACTCAACCACCCAACCGACCAATAAACAATCACTCATTCCACCAACCAACCAATCAGCTGGCCGCCAAGTACGACATGGCGGCAGAAGCAGAGGTCATTGAATGGTTCCGTCAGATTCTCAACATCAACCTGCCCGATGGTATGATCAACTTTGGAAGGGCTCTATCGGATGGCCAGGCCCTCATCAAGTAATTATAACATTACAATCTAAAATAATAAATAAATATATTATTTATATTATTATATTTTTTATTGTTTGTTATGTTTGGCTTTCTTTTTACTTTTTGTCGCAGTTACCATACTGTTGCTTCCATACCAAAAGACCAATCCACATCTAAACAAATTTCTACACATACAATAACATGACAACAACAACAACAGCTACACAACAAACAACATTTATAAACAAGACAAACAAAAATGCAGTTTGGCAAAAGTTGTCCAGCAGAACTCCGAATACTGCCCGCCACCGGCTGCCAAAATGATCCTGAAACCCAATAAAGGCGATGTTGCTTTCAAACAGGTTACAAATTTCGTCTTGTCTAGGTTCTGTCAGTTTTTTAATTTTTTTAAAATTTATATCATGTGAATTTCTCGAATGTTTCGTTTTGATAATAAATATTCATTATTTGCCTGGAAAAAAAACTGTTATTCTAATATTTTAAACGAAAATTTGTTAAATACATTTCAAATCTTTCAAATAACCAAAATATTATTTAACGCATTGTTATTGTCGTTAGTATGTAATTACATTATTTAAACGCTGTACTACGCTGTCTCAATGAACATTCCGATTAATGGAAAACCCTATCAGATGGAGAACATTCAAAACTTTCTGAACTTTTGCGAAAACTACGGAGTACCTCACACCAACCTTTTTCAGACTGTGGATCTCTTCGAGGGTAGGAACATGCCCCAGGTCCTCGCCTGCATCCAGGGACTGGGCAGTGAGGTGCACTCTACGCTGTTTTTTTCATTACAAAATTTTTCGCTCCTTTGTAAATAAATGAACTAATGTTCATTTTATTTCAATTTTTAATTGCAAATATTCAACTGTTCATTTCAACCATTTAATAATAACTGCACAATTTTGAGGTTATTCGACCTACTACTAAGCAAACCACGTAAACTTACTTTCACTCACCAGTGCCAGCGTAACGGCTTCAAGGGTCCTGTCATTGGTCCCAAGCCAGCCGAGAAAAACCAACGTGGTTGGACAGTGGAACAGTTGAAAAAGGGGCATACGATCATTGGCCTTCAATCAGGGACCAATAGATTTGCCACCCAATCAGGAATGACGATGGGCGGAGTTAGACATGTTGCTGACATCAGAGCAGACGACATGACTAAGGAGGGCCAGGGCGTGATTGGTCTACAGGCTGGTACCAACAAGTTTGCCACCCAATCAGGAATGAGGATTGGATCCGTGCGTCACGTGGCTGATATCAGAACTGACGACATGACGAAGGAGGGCCACGGGGTAATCGGGCTGCAAGCAGGAACCAACAAGTGATTAGATGGATTTACAATTTCAATTGTCACGCTTTGTCACTTTTAATGTAATTATAGATGGTAAGCATTCACGTCAGAAATACAAATTTTAATTTTCTTACTTGATTAAATTTGAATAGGTACGCTTCTCAGTCTGGCATGACGATGGGCGGAGTGAGACACGCAGCAGACATCAGAGCAGACGACATGACGAAAGAGGGCCACGGCGTGATTGGTCTGCAGGCCGGTACTAACAAATACGCCACCCAATCAGGAATGAGGATTGGAGGAGTTCGTCACGTGGCTGACATCAGGGCAGACGACATGACAAAAGAAGGACAGGGCGTTATTGGTCTTCAGATGGGTACCAACAAATTCGCTAGCCAATCAGGTACTTGTACGATAATGCAGCGTGATTTGAAATGGCCCATGTTAACTTAACAACTCTCTTAAACTAATCAATTGTCGTGTGAAGACGAACAATTTCTTTTCAGGCATGACGTTCGGTGGCGTTCGTCACGTGGCCGACATTAGAGCAGATGACGTCACGAAAGAAGGATCGTCTGTGATTGGTCTGCAGATGGGCAGCAACAAGTTTGCCAGTCAAACAGGAATGAGTTTTGGGGCAGTTCGTCATGTTGGTAAGTTGATGGATGGTTGAAAAACTTTTAAAATTCAAGTTATTCAAAACAATAGATGCAAAATTTGTTGTAATTAAACTTGGCAGCTGACATCAGAGCAGATGACCTATCAAAAGATGGCTCCTCCGTGATTGGCTTGCAGATGGGAACTAACAAATTCGCCAACCAGAAGGGCATCAGTTTCGGGGCCGTTCGTCACGTCAGCGACATCAAGGCAAATTTTTTTTATTTCTGTTTTTTGAAGAAGTTTGAAAAAATAAACATTATTTCATTTGTTTTTTAATTTTTAATTAATTACTACGTCAGTCAGTAGATGAAACAAATTGATTCTCAACTAAAATGGATTCCATAAACGTCCGTTGAGAATAATAATTTTTGCATTAATCAATCGCAAATTAAATCAATCATTAGTTCAAACGAATTACCGTGATTATGTCTAAAATAAAATTGTACCAGGTGAACGAGCTATCGAAAGAAGGTGCGGGAGTGATAGGATTGCAGGCGGGATCAAACAAGGGAGCCAGTCAGACGGGAATGTCATTCGGAGGTGTCCGTCACGGTGGGGACATCAGAGTGGACGAACTTTCAAAGGAAGGAGCATCGGCGGTCAACTTGCAGTACGGAAACCCGTACGGTGCCAACCAGAGCGGCATGTCCTTCGGAGGTAGGAGGGACATCGGTGGCTACTCACAGCCGCAGCATGACTCCAACAACTACTACAACAACGACCAGCCGTATGGAGATAACGGTTATTACGGTCAATCCGATCCTAACAGCGGATACTACAACCAACAGCCACAAAGTTACTACAACCAAGAACCACAGAATTATTACAATCAAGAGTCCAGTTACTAACGATAGTATAGAATTGTTACTAGTGTTGATGTTAGCATTGTTTAATCGAGAGGATGTTTTATAATTAATTAGATAGCTACTACGAGTATGGACTATCCTGATAGCTTGGTGATATATAATTAATTAACTAATTAATTAAAATTTCTAATCATATCAAATTTATTAACCATTAATTAATCTATAGTTCAATTTATCTATATTAATATATGCGTACGTTCAACAGAGCCAATCACTTAATGTCTGTTCTGTGTTTTTCACGTTGTTTTGTAACCATTTTGTTTTATTACAAGAATAGGAATTCACTTATAATTTTCTATTTTAGGCCTTCGAAATAAATGATTTTTAACGAAAAAAATTGGATTTTAATTCAAAAACACAGTTATCTTTAATGAACAATTAATAGAGATTGATGATAACGCAATTAATTTGAAGAGTCTTTATAGGAAATCCTTCTATTATTAACCATCTAATGATACAAAATTATTCCAAATTAATTACACCAACATAATAAGATAAACATTACGCCAGTAAACTAATGTATACGTAATGTAATGTGTATGTATAATTGATTACTAATATGTAACGTAATTACTATTCAATGATGTGATTAATAATTGTATTGGTTACGTCAGAAACCTAATTAGTCACATTTGAATAGAAATTAAACTGTTAAAAAAGTATGTAAAACTTAAAATAGAATGTCCAAATGGCAATAACTTATTGAGAACAGAACAACATTCGAAGCTACAGCATTGAGTCATATTAAAGCAATTAGTTCATCAGGAATAATAGTTATTAACGACACCTTTCGGAGAAATGTAGTAGTACATTGAAAGACAGATACATATATACATACACATACCTATATGTATATATACGCGCGCGCGCACACACACACACACACACACACTCACACACACACTTACTACAAAACACACAGACAAACACACAGACAAACACACTCGTATACACACACGCACTCACATGCACACGCACATAAAAATATATTGTATATTTACAATCATTTTAGTCGGCGTTAATAATACGCTCGGAAAACAGCAAAGCAAATTGACAAAAACAATAAATACATACAAAAAATATGAAAAATACATACGGAGAAATATAGTTTATGTTTAGGTAAAAAGAAAAATTAGACAAATATACGGAGAAAATAGATACATCCGAAAAATGTAGCCAATGTAAAATGTAACAATCCCTTGACTGGCTGGTTGGTTGATTGGTTGGAGTTAAACGAAATAAATAAAAACATGATGACGCGTGTGTGTGTGCATGCGTGTGTGTGTGTGCGTGTGCTGTATACATCAAATAAGACAAAATAGGAATGATATATCGTGATAAAAACATAATTTTGACGTAATGAAATTGAAGTGTTCTGGCTAGTAAGAAAAAATTTAAATAGATATTCTTGGAATTCGCCATCCTACAAAAAGTATATAAAATTTTTCAAAAGAAGCACACAAGGAAAACAATTCACATAAATATAATATACACAGATATATATGGATACAAACACACACACACACACACACACACACATGTACACGCGCGCACACACTAAATGATATATTAGATGTAGATATTTTCACAAAACTCAAGAAATTATCCGAAAGAAGGTAACAAAATAAATAATAGAACCAAAAATATACGTGAATACGAATATAGGAAGTCATGATTATGATGATCATTTAAAATAATATTGATGACGAAATGTAACATAATAACGACAAAGATTATAAATAATAGAGAGATTTCTGAAAAATATAACTAAAATAAAATACCTCTGCCAAATTGTCAAAAAAAAAGCTAAATCTAATTTTAAAAAAATTGAAAAACTAAATAAGGTATACGAGATGAATATGTACATGCGCAAACATAGATCGTATCTAGGTATGCGTGTTCATGTCTGAGTGCGTGTGTGTGTGTGTTGTGTGTGTGTGCGTGTGTGTGTATGTAAAATCACAAATAAAATCACCCTAAAAAAACGAACAAAACAAATAATACCAACAATTCATTGCCAACAAATCATAACATATAACATCCATTCAAACTGATGTTCTACAGTTTGTTAGTATCAACATTACATTTCGTTGGTATCAACTTCGAGTATCATGATACCTTTCGTTGGTATCAACTTCGGGTATGACGTTACATTTTGTTGGCCTCAATTTCCGGTATCTTGTATTCCTCCTCCGAATCACTCTCCAGCCTTCTCAGCTCCTCTTCATTCAGCAAACTTTTTTCTTGCATCTTACCTTTCACGAAATTTTTCACTAAACTGGCCGGCTTATTCTTATTGGCTAGCCTCCTGTTTGATTGGTGTGCGGCCTCCAGATGGGAATACGAATGCTGATTCCGTTTCCGTCTCTTCAGATAGTAAGTCACGCAGATTAGGATGGAGATTGGGATGATCAAGAAGCCCAGGAGTATAAGGGACACTGTAGTGATGTTGTACCTGAGTGGGTCATCAAAAAAATTAGTAGACATCTCTTTACTGATCAGGTGGCGATGGTAGGTTGGAAGTTCCTTCACAGACTTTTGGTTCAACTCAAACTTTTCACCTGACAAATCCTCAAATTTGTATACATAGCCCGGTTTGCCCACATAAGCCACAAAAACATTTCTCCCATCATGGCTGACGGCAATGTCGTGAGTGGAGCCCTGTGGAGATGTGACATTTGGCAAACTCCATTTTGACAGAATGATTTCACTGTCTTTATCAACTACAGCAACATGCAAGTCGTAAATGTACGAGAAGTTTACAAGGTTTCCATTCAAGCAAAATAACTTATCACTGTGCTGATTGTAAGCCACTGAAAAAAGTTCTGGAATAAAATCATCAGATGTTATCTTCTTCTTAAAATCTCCGGCTACTGAGTAGATGTACAAGCTATGGCTCGATCTGCTGGCTACAAAAATCGTCCCAGTTTGAGTATCCATTGAGATACTGTGTGGCAGATAATACGTGTTTTCGTCCTCTCCAACCCTCCATACCTTCAAAAAATTACCGAATCGATCGAATGCAATCACCCGCGAATTGCAGTAGCCATCACTTACGTACACCTCACCGGTTGGGGCCACTACGACATCAGTTGGTTTGCAAAAGTGAACGTTATCGAGTCCAGGAATGAATTTCTCACCTAATATTAAGGAGGGTGATGCTTGTGGGTTGTCTTCAAGAGTTGTAGGGAACTTGAAGACATTGTGCATGGCTACATCAGTCAGCCATATTGCTCCCTCGTGATCAACAAATATTCCGTGGGGCATGTAAAAGATATTCTTTCCAAACATTTTAACAACCTCGCCAGATGATATATTAACTTTTAGAATGGTGTTATCTTCAATTGGTGGCTGATCTCTGCCGGTGTATATGAAGTTCTCATCAAAAGAGTTAGACATCCATTTAGTGCTACCCCTGTGGAACAAATACATAAAGCCAAATCGATCAGTTGCCAGGCCAGTGACCTCACCAAGCTCCATGCCATTCGTTAACATTGGCCAGTTTGAAGCAGGTTTCAATGAAATGTTTAATTGGGCCTCAGTAGATATGTTGCTTTGGACGTGGTGGTGGTGATGTTTGTGACCTTCACCTACATCTTCTAAATCAGGATTGGGTGGTAGTTCTTCTAAGGCGAAACCTGGTACATCTCTAGAAATATCTGTATATTCATCTTTATCACAAAAATTAACTTCACCAGAATCAGATGAATTTTTATAGTACATAAGATAAAAATTACACATCTCATCATTGTGTGTGGAGCCAATGTTCACATCGACATCATAATGTTCTGAATTATAAACACATTTGGCAGCAATAAAATCTCCATTTTCTATGACCAATTCTTTATCATTTGTGGGCCAGAAAGCCTGGGGCCACTGTGGATTGCCCTTGCCAATCAACTTCCACCCAGAGCTCTTCTTAACATAAGCACTAATCACTCTGCCGAGCATGTGAGCGTGAACTCTGAATGCAATGGGGTACATAGTGGCCTGTAAATTATACCTGCAGGACACATTTCCAATCGTTAACTTTGTATGAGCTGGAATTTTGAGAAAATTTTTGAGCATGAGTAATACAGCAGCTGTGTATGGTTGTGGATCTGTAGTGAAGGTTAATTTCAAACTTGATTGATCACTCGTGTTGACAATTGTTTTGTAGTGCACTTGGTAACGTAGGAAGTCGATGCCATCAGTTGCTAGTTTGAAGCCGACACCTTTTGGTAAATTTGTAGGTGGAGCATTTCTACCCCAGGCAAAATAAATTCTTTCTAAAAAACATCCACCAAGACATTCAAATGCCTTTGAACTTCGAGCTTTTCCAGAACATGCAAATAACAACATGTGGTGGACGTTAGGATTATCCGGTTTGGCTTCAAATCCAGTCAAAAAATGTTTTGATTTAATGGAGAAATCATAATCAATGCATAAATATTTATCTTCCTTGTCTGTGGTTACATTGGGCATTTGTATTGTGTGGACCCAACTGGTTGGTTGTGAGCCATCATCAGGTGTCGATGATGAAGTCAGTGGAGAAGCAATAATTAGGAGCAGAATAAAAATGGTAAATGTTAAAATGAAACATATGTTCTTGCAGCCGTAATTGAAAAACAGACCAATGGCCATTATCATGATTTTAATTTCAAATGTTCAACTTTTTGTATATAATCAATTGAGGGTTAAAAAATTAAAAATACGATTACAAAATTCATTTAACATTTTATAATTTGAATAATTTCAAAATAATGCAAAACAGGAACGAATTTTCCGACGTAAACATTACTTTTAAAACAAAATTTACTTTTAAAATGGTGATTTTTCTGCAAACTATAGAGCTGTAGAATGGAATTTATTTAATTCAATTTTAACATTAATATGAAGATTCCAGTTAATTTTAATTTTGAAAAAATAAATAAATAAATTTTTTAAAATGTAAACAATTTAAAAAATTTTAATTCAAAATTTTTAACTATGCTTTAACTATATTGACAAACATAAATTTTTTAATATCTTAAAACATTCAATAACCTGATTGAAAAGAATTTGTGTAAAAGTTAATTGAAACTAAATTTAAAAAGCGGCAATTCAATTTGTTCAATATAAATAAATATTAATAATATTTCTTCTAATTTATAACTTTTATTACATAATGTCATTTAGTATAACTCCGTTCAAGTTTTACAATCGAAAAATTTTACGTCCGATTACGAACGATTGTGTTGTTGAAGTCTCAAGCAAGGATCATGAAAATGCCAGTACTATGCCTCCCTCTGCTTCTGCTAGGAAACGCTCATTTTCCGTCAGTCCGGATGTCAAGAAAAAATTGAAACTGCCTGAAAACAACGCTGACGCTGATTTAAATTGTTTTAGTTATTGTTTTAATGATAATGATGTTTGCCTACATAGCGTTCCTAAAGTTAAAAAGAGATGTGCCTATTCCAGGACTGGCCGTCTATTCCAAGGTTCCATCATCAACAAGTTGAATGCTGCGTCAACAACAAATTCATCAAAAAATAGGAAATGTGACTCCAGTTTCGACAAAGGTACATACTTGCTTTAATTTAATTTAATTAAACTTTTATTAATTAGTAAATAAAATTAAATTAATTAAAGAAAGTTTTATATATATTGTAGATAAAGTTACTTGCATTATTTTTTTTGAATCACTTTAACAATGAATATTTCGATTAATAATTTTGACTACAAATTGATAGGTGCTGTTGACAAAAGTTGCAAGGTAAAATGCAGACAAATGGCTCTAGTTAGTTAATAGTATTGCTTAAATTAAATTTTAATTAAACCCAATTAACTTTGAATTCATTTTATTTAAACAGAAGATCTTAAATATTTAGAGAACTAAATCATCCTGTCATTTTAATCACATGGATATGAACTGAGATATACATTAACTTTTTCGTTTCACCACTATTTATTTGACTGATACTTTTTAAAATATAATTTAATTAGGATTTTGGTCAGAAACTCAAAGAGCCCAAGCAGTGTTCAGTTTGTGGGTTGACCTACAATGAAATACAGCCTTCAGATGATCTCTTCCATACCAAATTTCATAAAAATTTCTTATCAGCTCTAAAGTTTAATGTTTGTTTACTGCTTTTTTTGAATTTTTATTCAAAAATGTTTAATATTTTTTAAAAATGGAAATTCATCCAATAATTAATTTTTTCATGCTATATTCAGATTAATGTTAAAAATATTTTCATATTGTTTTTTTATTTTAAATAGTTCTCTCTATATATACACACACAGGTCACATCAAGGCATAGAATTGTACAAAACCTACCAGATGGTGAAATAATTGTGATGGTTCTTGAGTCTGATAAATCTTCAATGTTAAAAGTGACCATTGATTTATTTTTACATTTTTTTTTAATATTTCTTTTTTCATTTGTCTGTATATTAATCATTTTTTTGCCATGTTACCCTGAGTTTTTATTGTTCAAATTTTTTCAATTGATTAAAATTAATAAATAAATTTAATTTTATTAATTTCTATAATTTTCCTCATCTATTTATTCATTATTCATTTGGCTTTTTCAGGTTGAGCAAATTAGAAAACATGTGGATGTTGATTTGGGCTTTGTACTTAATGAACAATCCAATAACCCTTTCAAGGTGTGTTACTGTTGAATGTGTACAGGCTGTTCAAAATATACACACATCTTAACAGTAATATATAATATCTTATAAATACAACACAGTCTTGCTGTATTAGGTTAAACATCCTGTATTTATTTATAACGCTGTTTCTTTGTGTATTTACATCTACATTCCGTTTGAACATTTTTAGTAGTGTTAATAATTCAGTATTTTGTGTAAGATAGTTAGACATTTTTAGCAGATTTTGTATTAAATTCTCATCTAACTATCATCCTAAATAAAATGTACTGTTTTATCTTTTGAATTTACTTTGAAAATATAAAACTTTGAAAAAATTGTGTATTCTTTTAACCACTCAAGCTGAATGTGAATAATGTGAATGGGCGAATTAAAGCTGAATAATGGTAATTGAGATAAATAAATTTATGGTTTATATAGATGAAAAGATTTTTTTTTATAGATGAAAAGATTTATTTCGCTTTTTAAACTCATTTAAATCCAATGTGTCTTTTGTTTTGCATGCATTTACAGTCATTCCTGTACATAAGGAACAACCATGTGGTAGGCTTCTGCCAGGTTCAAGCCATCCAATTCGTTAGTTTTTTTATTTTAACTTAGAACTATTTTACCTCAAATGAATTTATTTCTCTCAGGTCAGCACCATGAATATGTATGTACATTTTTAATTTGTGTTCTTATATCTGCAATCATGGGCGTAGCCAGTCATTTTTTAATTTTTTTCAATCAGGGATTCAGAATGGTTGACTCTCCAAAAGACGAGCTACAACAGGTAAACAGAAACATTAGCAACAGTAATAGCAATAACACTAACAACAATAATGATGTCACTAGCATTAAGAATGACACTAACAATGATAGCAAGCACAATGGCAGTGTTTATGATGACAGCAGAAATGTTCACAATCAGCAACCTTATTGCTGCAGCACAATATCTGAACCTGTGAGATGCGGCATTAGCAGGATATGGGTCTCAAAATCTGACAGAAGGAAAGGTGTGGCCACCAGATTGCTCAATTCAGTTAGGTTAGTGATATCCTCAAGTCAGGAATGCATTAGGTTGGGTCCAGCCAATATAATAAATTTTATAAACGTCTTAATGTTTTTTAATTGAAATTTTCTACTTGATCTATTAGTCATTGATTTAATGTTTACTAGAAATTTATGTTTTTTTACATAATTGTGTGATTTGTCTCAGAAACTTACTATGTTATGTAGTTGAACATATTTTTGATTTACACAGTTCAAAAGATCTAAACCATGATAGTGTTCAATACCTAAGCATTTTAATATACATAATTTTCTTTTTTATTTCAGAGGGCACTTTTCATTGGGCAACCCACTAACAAAACAGCAGATTGCATTTTCTCATCCGACCCCAGATGGCATCTGCTTGGCCACCGCCTACACTGGCTCTCCACACTTTCTTGTCTACAGAAACTGAGTGCTGAACTAATATTTTTTAATGTTGCTCTTGTTATGTTCGTCATTTATAGTTAATAATTTTGTTTATTCATTACTTTACTCATCCAACAGTTCTTACATTTATTTTTGGCATTTGTGAAAAATTTTTTATAAAAGTTGTAATAAACTATCTAAAAAAAAATTATCGAAAATTTGAAGCTGTCCTTATAATTTCTTTCAAATTCGTTGAGTTAGTTTTTTCACAGGCAATGAGAGCTCTAGTGAGTGAAAGAGTTTTCAAAACATCTTGACCTTTGACCCAGATCCATCCATTTTCTCCAATTGTTATTTCATATTGGAATGTGTTGCTTAGGGTTTTCAGGATCTTGTCATTGGCTGATAATAATCTGAAATGATGAATGTGAGAACTGATCAAATCAAAATCACATTATTTTTATCATTTATAGTCATTAAACTTTGAATGGTGAATGGAATTTTGAAAAAAAAATATCTCCAACCTTCTGGCATAGCTGACAGAGAGTCTTATCATGTTGCCTCCATTGCTTATAACACCCATTCCTCCACTCTTTCCTGTGCTGTCAATGCAGACGAGTTCAGGCTCAAAACAATTATCTCCAATTGAAATTCTACCATACACTAAATCACCTACCTGAATTAGGTTTAAAAAAATTCTTGTCAAAATATAGTATATACAACCCACATATTGACAATATTCTATAAATTCAACCGAATGTTTGATGTTAATATGTTTGTAGTTATTTTTTCGATTATTCGACAAGTCTTGAACTATATTCTTTTTAACTTCTAATTCTCGAGAGAGATGGAGCAGTTGCTGCTCGAGATCTTGTTCGAATGTTAGATTAGATTAAGTCAGTTGGTCGCAGAACTTCAAGTAAACTCATATATATATATATATATATATATATATATATATATATATATATATATATATGAGTTGAAATGTTGCGTTAACAACAGTCTGTTACCAAAAAATATATATATATATATATATGTTGGTAATAGACACAGCATGTGATTTTCATCAATAATTGCATTTCTGACAGTAATCCAATATTATATATATATATAATATTTATATATATATATATTATTAATTATACTACCATATTACTTAAATTTTAATTATTAAGCAAAAGTTCAAACCAACTTCTATGTTGGGTCTGTTCTTTTTGGATGACCCTTCAAACGAAAGGTAACACAAGACGGCCAGATCATGTGACCCAATGTCCACTTTGTAGTTGCCACCTGGTTTTGATGTTACCACACCCAACACGCGATCACCCTCTGCTTGAACGTACTATTTAAATTTGGTGCATGGAATTAGAAAAAGAGAGACAAATTTTGTCTAAATAAAACCAGTTATTTCAATGTTCTTTAAATTAAAAAATAATTATAATAATTATAATTGAAATTATAATTGAAATTTAAAAAACCGATTATGATCTTTCTAACTCGTTTTTGTCTGGAATCGACCCAGTAAAGCGCCGGTTTGTTTTCCCTTAAGATTCCGGGTATGGTAGCGTAGATTATGTCATTTTTTCCACGCAATCCGGGACCAAGCAAGCAAACTCCGGACTGATCAACACATGCTATATCACCGGGCATCACAAAATCGCCTACTTTGGCAGCCATGTTTGTTTACAAAGACAAAATAATTTTGCTTAACGCAATGTAAATGGCATGGCTACCTTCCGATGTCTTTTGTTTTTAATTTGATTTTCCTCCGAAGTAGCAAAAATCTTTTTAATAATTTTATGATAAAATGGACGTAAAACGGTTGCCAGAACTTGAGACGGTGGAGAAATTACATCTGTCCATTGACTGCAAACAAAAGGCGGTCAGAGCTGTTCGGTTCAATTGTTGGTACTAAAATGAAAATCCCTAAACATTTTTTTAAAGTTTTTTTTTAAATGTTTAAATTAAAACTTTAAAACTTAAAATGAAGCATTAATTGAAAATCAATTGTTCATTTCAACATTCTCTACTTACCACCACACCTACTACAGCTGATGGTGAATATTGCCTAACATGTGGATCTGACAGAACAATAAAACTCTGGAACCCCCACAAAAATATCGCCCTGAAAACTTATGTCGGCCATGGCAATGAAGTTCTCGATGCCCAGAGCACGTGTGATAATGCACAGATCTGTTCTGGGGGTCTTGACAAGTCTGTAATACTGTGGGATGTGGCCACAGGAAAGATGTTGAGAAAGTTTAGAGGGCATGCTGGTAAATAATTATGATAATTAATTACACATACTTCTAAAAATCGTTTAGATGTATGTAAATCAGCAATCATAATGAATAATGCATATTTTAAAATCTGAAACATATCTTTAATTTAATATGTACATACTTTATTTATTGAGTTCAGCCTTCTTAAAACTCAATGACATTTGTCTGTCCTCCTACAATATTAGTTTTTATACTCCATGTTACTGTTTTTCATTTAAAATTCTAGAACATAAATGTTATTTTTGCCCATCAGCAAAAGTTGATTGTGTCAGTTTCAATGAGGATGGTGCTGTCATAATGTCAGGCTCTCTTGATGGCTCTGTACAGATCTGGGACACCAAAAGTAGAAAGCTTGAACCCATACAAGTTACATTTATTTCATGTATAGCTTAGAAATTATTTCTAAAGAATTATTTTAAAATTTTATATATTCTATATTATAATTATTAACTGAGTAAATAAAACTTTGGTTAAGAATGTTCTACTGTTGAGTTTTATGTTTTATATCAAAAATTTATTTTTATCCATTGCCTCACGCACATGTTTCTAACAGACATTGGATGAATCAAAAGATGGCATTTCCTCAATACTTGGTACAGATCATGAGATCTTCACTGCCTCCACAGACAAACATTTGAGGAGATATGACCTCAGGTGTGGCCAGATGACCTCTGACTTTCTAGGAGGTACAATATTGATAGTTTATTTACAAGTTTATCTTTTTTGGTTATCCTTCAAATAAATAAATAAATAGTTATAATATATATATATAACTATATATATATATATATATATATATATATATATATATATATATAGTTTGTACTATTAAATTAATTTATTCATCACATATTCTAATTATTTTTATTCTGACTTCTTATCAAGTTACCTCAAACTAAATTTTTGTTACTTTTCACTAACCTAAAGTTTTGATAAACTAATTTTAGCCCCAGTGATGTGTGTAAGTCTGACAATGGATGGCCAGTGCATATTAACAAATACATCAGATAGTACTCTGAGGTTACTTGATAAGAAGTCGGGAGAACTTTTAAACGAGTTTGTAGCATTTAAATTTACTTTTAAATTTTTATTATTTTCAAATGTTTGCATGAGATAAATTGATGAATAAATAATTTTTAATTTCTCAAAGGTACAAAGGCCACACAAGCGTCGGCTACAAAATCGACAGTGCAGTCAGTAGTGATGACAAGCAGGTCCTAACTGGTTCAGAAGATGGTTTGATATATATCTGGGATCTTATTAAGGTTCAATACCTGATAGAATTTTCTTTTTATTGCACGTCTAAAAGAAATTTAACCAGTTTATAATTTTTGTATTCTCAGACCGACGTGATAGGTCGATTGGATCACGGTAAAGGAAAAACGTTAGTTCATTCCTTAAGTTACCATCCTACAAAACCAATCCTGCTGACTGCTTGTGGTTCTGACATCTTCCTATGGAAAACAAGACATGCTGCTATTTCTTAATTCTACAATTGTTTCATTTTAGTATCGTTATTTAGTTATTTTTATCGTAATTTTTGATTGTAGTGCTTGAAGTTTCACGATTTGATACATTGGACATGGATGCCGTTGACGTGTATATCTTATTACGTCTTCGATGAATGTGTTGTGTGTTTATACGAACATTTATACAAAATAAAATTGTCAAACGAATATGTGTACCTTTTTGGAAGTGTAATTAAGTATTGAAGTTTTCAATAAAGTTAACGCTTTTAAACGGGCACTTGATTTACTTATTTAATCTTTGGCCAACGATAATACGGGTTAGACATTTTTGTTGCTATGATTTAAATTCCCTTTAATTTTAAATGATTTCACGCCGTCATATGTTAAATTTTAGTTTGAGAATTTTATTTAGTAATAAGATCGTTGTTTTTGCGCCAACAATAAAAGGTTTTAATAAGAGATATTTCTTAATTTCCTATGGTTTATTTAATTAATTTCATAAATTAAATTGTAAAATAAAATCAAAATGCAAATGTTAGTAAATGTACTTACCTTGAGTTTCTTACTTTGTTTTGTTTATATAACTTTAGTAATTAGTTCAGTTTAGTAATTAGTTAGAAAACAAATTTACTTTAAAAAAATAATGAACCAAATATTCATTTATTAAATTTTAAACACAACAGCCATGTCCGACGGTGGCGTGTTAAGACCAGGGGAAGATGGAAAAAGTCTGCCAAAAGATGAATGGAAGAAACGTCTGAAACCCATGGAATACTGTGTCTGCAGGGAAAGTGACACTGAACGAGTTAATTCATTCTCTAAAACTTATTTTCATATTTTTATTTTATATCTATTATCATTTCATTTGATAAAATATATTATTATTATTATTAACGGGGTTTAAAGTGGTTCAGAAGACTATGGTCTGTGTAAGAACCACTACTAATTAGATCTCCTAATATCCTATCTGTCCGAGTTTGGCTTTGAAGCTGTTGAGTGAATTCGCAGAGGCTGCATCATCGCTTAGCTCGTTCCAAGCGTTGACCACTCTACTGCTGAAGAATCTGCTCTTTATTTTTCCATCCGAGTTTTTGAAAATCTTAAATCTGTGTCCTCGTAGTTTATCACTGTTTACTAGTCTGAAAAATCTAGAGTATGGAGTTGTTTCCCTATTCGTGATCAATTTATATGTTTGGATTAGATCTGCTCTACATCTTCTTTTTTCCAATGATGTCAAGTCGCATTTTTTCAATCTCTCATCGTATTCCATTTTTCCGATTCCTCTAATCATTCTTGTGGCTCTACGCTGTACTTTTTCCAAAACTTCCTTATCTTTCTGCATATATGGGCTCCATGCTTGAACACAGTACTCCTGATGAGGTCTGACCAGGGTTTTATACAGTTTCAGTATAATATGCTTCTCTCTGCTGACCAT